CTACCACTAAACAATCACAATACTACCACTAAACAATCACAATACTACCACTAAACAACCACAATACTACCACTAAACAACACAATACTACCACTAAACAACCACAATACTACCACTAAACAACCCCAATACTACCACTAAACAACCACAATACTACCAACTAAACAATCACAATACTACCACTAAACAATCACAATACTACCACTAAACAACCACAATACTACCACTAAACAACCACAATACACTAACAACACAATAAACTAACAACAATACTACCACTAAACAATCACAATACTACCACTAAACAATCCCAATACTACCACTAAACAATCACAATACTACCACTAAACAATCACAATACTACCACTAAACAATCACAATACTACCACTAAACAACCACAATACTACCACTAAACAATCACAATACTACCACTAAACAACCACAATACTACCACTAAACAATCACAATACTACCACTAAACAATCACAATACTACCACTAAACAACTCACAATACTACCACTAAACAATCACAATACTACCACTAAACAATCACAATATACCACTAAACAACACAATACTACCACTAAACAATCACAATATACCACTAAACAATCACAATACTACCACTAAACAATCACAATACTACCACTAAACAATCACAATACTACCACTAAACAATCACAATATACCACTAAACAATCACAATATTACCACTAAACAACTCACAATATACCACTAAACAACCACAATACTACCACTAAACAATCACAATACTACCACTAAACAATCACAATATACCACTAAACAATCACAATACTACCACTAAACAATCACAATATACCACTAAACAATCACAATATTACCACTAAACAATCACAATATTACCACTAAACAATCACAATACTACCACTAAACAATCACAATATTACCACTAAACAATCACAATATACCACTAAACAATCACAATATTACCACTAAACAATCACAATATACCACTAAACAACACAAGATACAAAAAAAGAGGAAGACCACTTCAGTGGCACAATATCTCTCACTAAGACAATCCAATATTACTCCTTAAACAATCACTAATCAACCGATTAATCGTTCACGTTAATACTTACGCAGTAAACAATCCGATAAATCTATAACCAAATCAGCGTAGGGCAGATGTTAGCGCTTCTAAGATAATTACTACGATGTATTGCTGTTTCTTTAAAAGGAACTGATCATTCTAAATCAGGATTAATAAGTCGTTACAGTTTCATAAACTAGCAGAGATACACAGGTAAATCTGATCACGAAATCGTAAGACACGATTGCAATAACCATACAATGGGTAAGGTAGAATCCCGCGTGTCAGTGGCGTAGTCATCCATCGCTAACTCAGGATTAACTTATCGTTTACCCGCAGTGTCATCTTTGAGTAGGTACAAAAGCACTGTACGATCGTCAATGACTACGTCACTTTGCAACATAACCTAACCAGTGTAGAAGGGTCAGTGCTTAAAACCCGTTCTGATATATAATTTTGACCAGGTTTATCGCCCTAAGTTTTAATATAATGCGGTAGTGAAGTTCTTTGTACTGAGCTAATCTGAGTGACTTTAAGTTACTGTCGTAAGGTGCTTAAGTCACTGTACAAGAGATTTATTATCAGTAATGGTTATGAAAGTTAAAGTAAGTGTTGATGAATTCGTTATAACTAATCAATCTTGTGATAGCAAGTCTGGGTAGTGGACGTCAGGTCAAAATACCTCGGACGTCAGGTTCAAATACTCGGACGTCAGGTTCAAATACCTCGGACGTCAGTTCAAAATACCTCGGACGCAGTTCAAATACCTCGGACGTCAGGTTCAAAATACCTCGGACGTCAGGTTCAAAATACCTCGGACGTCAGGTTCAAAATACCTCGAACGTCAGGTTCAAAATACCTCGGACGTCAGGTTCAAAATACCTCGAACGTCAGGTTCAAAATACCTCGGACGTCAGGTTCAAAATACCTCGGACGTCAGGTTCAAAATACCTCGGACGTCAGGTTCAAAATACCTCGGACGTCAGGTTCAAAATACCTCGGACGTCAGGTTCAAAATACCTCGGACGTCAGGTTCAAAATACCTCGGACTTCAGGTTCAAAATACCTCGGACGTCAGGTTCAAAATACCTCGAACGTCAGGTTCAAAATACCTCGGACGTCAGGTTCAAAATACCTCGAACGTCAGGTTCAAAATACCTCGGACGTCAGGTTCAAAATACCTCGGACGTCAGGTTCAAAATACCTCGGACGTCAGGTTCAAAATACCTCGGACGTCAGGTTCAAAATACCTCGGACGTCAGGTTCAAAATACCTCGGACGTCAGGTTCAAAATACCTCGGACGTCAGGTTCAAAATACCTCGGACGTCAGGTTCAAAATACCTCGGACGTCAGGTTCAAAATACCTCGGACGTCAGGTTCAAAATACCTCGGACGTCAGGTTCAAAATACCTCGGACGTCAGGTTCTAAATACCTCGGACGTCAGGTTCAAAATACCTCGGACGTCAGGTTCAAAATACCTCGGACGTCAGGTTCAAAATACCTCGGACGTCAGGTTCAAAATACCTCGGACGTCAGGTTCAAAATACCTAGGGCGTCAGGTTCAAAATACCTCGGACGTCAGGTTCAAAATACCTCGGACGTCAGGTTCAAAATACCTCGGACGTCAGGTTCAAAATACCTCGGACGTCAGGTTCAAAATACCTCGGACGTCGAGTTCAAAATATCTCGTTTGACAGCACGTCAAACATTTGATTCTGATTCCTACGAATCACTAGTTTACCTGATTGATTCTGCAAAGTGCCCACAAAAAATGTATTGAATGGAGAGGCGTAGGACAAACTAGGTCACCTTCCATAGCAATTTTTGACCCTCCGGAAAAAGTGTAAAGGTCATGTAGAATTGTGTAATTTATCAAACAGTTGAGGCTAGGCCTAATATGTGCTGTCTCCCGCCAGACGGCAGCTGGTGTGTTGCTCTGTATTATTATATTAATTCACAGGTTCATTACGTTCTATGATGGTATGACAGATAAGATAAGATAAGATAAGATTTCGTTCGGATTTTTAACCCCGGAGGGTTAGCCACCCAGGATAACCCAAGAAAGTCAGTGCGTCATCGAGGACTGTCTAACTTATTTCCATTGGGGTCCTTAATCTTGTCCCCCAGGATGCGACCCACACCAGTCGACTAACACCCAGGTACCTATTTGCTGCTAGGTGAACAGGACAACAGGTGTAAGGAAACGTGTCGAATGTTTCCACCCGCCGGGAATCGAACCCGGGCCCTCCGTGTGTGAAGCGGGAGCTTTAGCCACCAGGCCACCGGGCCTGACTTCGTCATTCATCCTCAAAGTTCGATCGCTAGCGCAGCCAGCTCACACACTGTGGTCCGGAGGTCGATCCCTGGTACGGCTGGAAACATTACGACGTGTTTCCTTAAGACACCTGTTGTCCATGTTCACCCATAAGTGATATGGGTACCTGGGTGTTAGTCGACTGGTGTGGGTCGCATCCTGGAACAAAATTTACCTAATTTGCCCGAAATGCTTGCATAATAAGCGGCTTTCTAAAACAAATGAACGTCACCTTCTCTCGACTACTGATACTGTAAATAAGTCTAATAACTTCTTTTGCAACAACAGAAAAGCGTCTAGCACAAGACAACAGTAGCTATATGACAGCCTATTATCCTAATTCTTGTTACCAGGCTCCTACCACCCCTGAAGACAGCCTCAATAACAGTTACTTAAGCAGGATTCTTAGGAGTCTGTTGGTAGGATTCAAGTCTGGACGCTATTGGAAGATACTACTGGAAGGATTGTTACCAGAAGACTACTGGTAGAAGGTCTCTGGAAGGTTTCTTGAAGTATTTGTAGCAGTGCAAATGAGATACCAACAATAATGTATAAAAACTGCATAAGTGCTATCTCCAGCTGCTATATTACTTTTAAAGATATCACCTAAGCAACAAGACTTTCCAGATGCTATCAACACAGGATAACACCAGTCTCAAATCTTCTAGTGCTATCGAAAATGCTTGAGAAACTGGTCACAATCAACTGAACACGTACCTAAGTATGATTAATCCTTGTAAATTGGATTCAGTATGCTATTCTATTCAAGATTGATGGACTGAACACATCGACTCAAGGTTGAGGGACTGATTACCTCATTCTCCTCCTGTTCTTCAAGTTTCTCCTATGTATGGACTGATGAAGTCACTGTGTGGCGAAACGTTTCCTCAATAAAGACACCCAAGAGTTGCACATGTGTCTAATTTATCAACAGGGCTGATAATGTTGGAGTTTTGATTAATCTAAGAAAGACCTTCTCATTTAACTTAACCACTATGGTCTTAGACGACACAGTTACATATATTTCCGGGAGCAGACTGATTTCTTGTATACCTAACATACATGTACCTATTATTGTGATCTGATTCTATCTTAAATATTGATATAAACAACTCACTTTCCCCTTATTCCCAGTGTATCTCCTTCTATTGTTTAAATAATTAGTTATTACAAAGACCCCAATGGAAATAAGTCACTTTGAATTTTTTTTGGGTTATCCTGGATAATCTACATATATTTTGCTATGTATGATAATTTATGTAACTGTATTTATGTCTACCTGTACCTGAATAAACTTACTTATCTCTCTAAATATGTTACCCCTGATGCGGTGCTACTGGGCACCTGATGTTTAAAGCATTGATGGCCCAGTGGACTGAGGCGTCTCGGAATTTTGGTGGAATTCTCAGGAGACGTGATAAAATATGGGGGTTCAAACCGCAGCTAGTCGTAGTTTTGGTATTTAATTAAACCCACGGGCGGGTTCTAAACCCGCCCGTGGTATGGTTTATTTGCAATCGTGTCATTACGACTTCGTGAGTCATATCGTTCTAAGCTTCTCTCTGTATTGCACCTTTTTATGCATTACAATGTTCATCTTCTGACAGACACAGTGACGACGCTGGAGGTGCTGGAAGGAAGAGATACAGTGGTACCGTGTAACATGGAGGTTCCATCACTGGTCGATCACATCGCCAGGGTGACTTTACTCCACCAGCATCACATCTCCAGTAGTGATCCCTCGCCTCACCAACACGTTCACAACATGAACAGTCGTTCCTCCAAAATAATCTACAGGTAGGGGTGAACTTTCGTTATTCACTTTGGGCTGTCTATTAGGCTGCTCGCCTTAAGCAAATTTTTCAAGCAGTTTCTGGAGGCTAAAATACATGAGGGATGTTTTAAATATATACTTTCGGTAACCTGTGTTGCATCAGTGTTGAAACAATAAAATATTGAACAAAATGGACATCTTAGCGAATCTGCTTTGTCTTCTAGGATGATGTTACAGTCACACGTAAAATGGCAACTTCTAAGTAAAACCTGGGTGACCCGGTGAGTGGTGATGTTTTAGCGCTCACCTTCGACAAAACAGTAAACCTTAAGACAAGATAAAGATAAGATTTTGCTAGGATTTTTAATCTGGAGGGTTAGCCACCCAAGATAAGCCAAGGAAGTCAGTGCGTCACTTGAGGGCTGTCTGTCTTATTTCCACTGTAGTCCTTCAGTCTTGTCTCCCAGGATGCCACCCATACCCAGGTACCTACTTACTGCTAGGTGAACAGGGACAGTAGGTGTAACGTGACTAACATCCAGGTACCTACTTACTGCTAGGTGAACAGGAACAGCAGGTGTAAGGTGACTAATACCCAGGTACCTACTTACTGCTAGGTGAACAAGGACAGTAGGTGTAAGAAAATACGCTCAGTGTTTCCACCCGGTCGAGGTCAAACCACGAACACTGTGTTAGGCGATAACGTTGCAGGAACAGTCGATGCATTGCAACAATGATAAAGCAACATATGATTAGGAGACTTGAGAAGCAAAAGGATATACTTAGAAGGGAGAGAAGCGTGACAGGAGAGCTCAAGAATGCAGAGAAACTGCATTTGAAGCCTCTCTGAAGCACTCACTGGATGTTATTGCTGTTCTTGCTGCTGAACAGCGGTCTAGTGCCGATGAAGGTAGCGTAGGTAGCAATGATACGGCCGTGGACTAGTTTGGCTTTAATTGGGTAGGAGTGAGTACACAACGGGCAGTGTGAGGGAGTGACCGCAAGCCAGTCCGTGGAGGGGGAGCACTTGTGTCTATCAGGTCGGTCGGCCTAGGAGTGAGAGCGAATGGGCTCAGCCTCCCACTGACCTGGGTGAGCCTACAGAGGGCAGCACTTAAATGCCGCGAAATATTAACTAGTCAGAACAGACGGCATAGGTTGTCTGTTCTGACAGTACAGGCTGTCTACATGGACACCTCATGCTGAGTCCGTAAAAATAATACAGAACCCCGGAGATCTGGCAGTCTCACGGACTAGTTAAGCGAGATGCACTTAAAATACACAGATAATCAGCATTATAGGAGACGCTTATGACGACACACTGACATAATAGGGTGAGGGAGCCAGTATAAATAGGTCTCTATATACTGGCTATCTCACTCCTGTGTGAGTGTGACTTTGTAAATGGTTCAAACTGGACCGAAACGTCGTCAGAAGCTTCTCTCTTCTATGTGCTGGTTCTTGTGGATTGTTCTACTCACGATATTGTGCCTTACGTTCTTGAGGTGGACATAAACTTAGAAAAACGTATTAGAGAAGGAGAGAGACGTGAATAAATCCTGATAGAGAAGAGCGAAGAGAAAGAAGAATGTATCCCTTCCCCCTCAAGGGAGGTTCCTTGACGCTGGTGAGGGGCTCTTGATCTAGGGAATTAAATCTGTGCTCTAGTTCCTTGAATTAAGCCTGAATACCTTCCATCCTTCCCTACAAGCACTGCATAATCCTATAGATTTAGTTTCCCCATGATAATAATAATATGCAGGAATGAGAATTATCAGCGTCGTGCTCTTCCCTGAGTTCTGGAACATGAAGCGTCGCTGGATCGACGAAATCTTAGCACACTTTCCAGAGCGACTGGTCAAGTTCTGAGACCTTGGTTCTCAGTGGACAGTCAGAAGGATTACCTTGCAGCACACTACGCAGGAGCCAGTCTCAGAGTAGAGTTAGAATCAGATATATCTTACTAGTTGTTTATTGGGGCGGGAGATTAATACCAGGGTGGCCCGGTGGCCTGGTGGCTAAAGCTCCCGCTTCACACACGGAGGGCCCGGGTTCGATTCCCGGCGGGTGGAAACATTTCGACACGTTTCCTTACACCTGTTGTCCTGTTCACCTAGCAGCAATTAGGTACCTGGGTGTTAATCGACTGCTGTGGGTCGCATCCTGGGGGACAAGATTAAGGACCCCAATGGAAATAAGTTAGACAGTCCTCGATGACGCACTGACTTTCTTGGGTTATCCTGGGTGGCTAACCCTCCGGGGATTAAAAATCCGAACGAAATCTTATCTTATCTTATCTTAACTTATGACCAGAGCTTCGGTAAGATGGGTAAGGGAGAAGGATGGGTAAGGATGGAAATATGGGAAATGGGTGGGTGGGAGAGGAGAGGTGGGATATTAAAGGTAAGTGACCCAACCACTTTGGTGCAATTTATAATATGTCTGCGTAATATCCTTAAGAAAATTATTGAAAGGGATGTAATCAAGACAACTATTTCTTGTAAATATATCTTATTCAGTAGTGTTCAGTAAGGAAACCAACACAGGTTCTGAATGTTCCAAAATAACATATGGGACTAGAGAAGAAGGTTCAGATGCTCTGCTTGACGCTCTGAAGGAATGGAGGATCCATATTTCGGTTAAGTCACTGTAGGCTCTGATCCACCAGGAGGCCTGGTCACAGACCGGGCCTCGGGGGCGTTGACCCCCGGAACTCTCTCCAGGTAAACTCCAGGTAAACTCCAGGTAGACTGACACCACTGCAAGCAATTCAGGGAAATACAGAGACGCTGCTGTTGTTCTCACTGAGAGGAAGCTAGGAACAAATTTAGATGCCTAGCTGACATCAATGACATACTACTATATAGAAAGGCGCTTGTTATGCTGAGTATTTCGGACCTTCTACGGTCCTGATATCCTGATATTAATAATAATTCACAAAGAAATGGACCTCATCATACACTATGAAGGTTCTCGATACAGAAACAGCTGCCGGTGGTATGTTTACTAACAGAGTTAATGGTGATATGATCACTCAGGACGAGAGGCACTGCCCAGTACCATGTTCCTGGTGATGTCACTCGTCCTGTGAGTGAACATACAGTTTTAAACGCAATATTGGGCAGCACTGTGCATACCATTCTGTGAGTGAACATGTTCACCTTGTTGCTGTTCCAGAACAAAAACAGAATGAACAGAAAGTGACTGAACAGTGACGAACATTCACGTGATGATTACAGGGACCGGTCAGCCAGTGGAAGGCCTCGGTCAGATAACCAAAAGCTCAAGCTGCGAGCCATCATATGACTAAGACCCGCGTCAAGAAACACTTGTCCTGCTTCCTGATAAACCTTACCTAACTTAACCTGGAGCTCCCTGGTGGTGAATGCCTCCACTCAAGATAAATATTATGACCCCTGAAGTCAGGCACAGAACACGATGTATGCATAAGGTGAAATATTCCCTCAAAATCGACGTTCTCAAAGTTGCCATGTTGTGATTTCGGTTAATGTTAATCCACAAAGTGCTTAAACCAAGACAGAATAAAAAAAAATCACCATTCTTGGAGTTTGAGTTATTTAACTCTTGACAAACCTGGTGCTCTAATTCACTTGCTCTTCACGGTTTACTAAATGACCTGAGCCTACTAAAATGTCTGAATAAATACGAGGCTATAAACTAAGGTTGTCTGCAAGCAGTCATCAAGGCGCCGTGTTGTCATGTGCGCTACGTGAGGAAAGATCTAGTTGCGTTCTTTGACGATCACGTCAAAACCGCAATCACAGCAGATTTGGCCCAGGTGTGGAGAAATTTTTTCCATGAGGGGGGTATCGGCCCCCTTTCCGCCCCTTCAGCTCCAGGGTTGCAGAACAACAGTTTCATGTCAGAGGAGTCTTGCGAGTGCAGCTGCGGAAGACTCAACCAGCAACAACGCTAAATAGCTTGATTCTTGTACAGTTACATAGTTGATGTTTTTAATAAAAAACCCTAAAACCAGGCATCAAATGAGAATGAGCCCAGATCCACACTCAGACATGTCCTGTCATGAACATACAGGATATAACAGCATATCTAGTATCTTATTTTCATTAATAAGATATCTTGACATGTCACATAGGTTATTATACTGTCTGTCTGTGTATTCCTCAATAAGTGGACAATTAAGCACATAGTGTTCAAGAGAGTGACCATATGCCTGATCACATAATTTGCATTTAGTTTGATCATCATCTGTGTGTCTCCCAAACTGCCAGAAGTACTTGTAACCAAGCCTAAGCCTGGTCACTACAACATCAGTCAGTACTTGTAACCAAGCCTAAGCCTGGCCACTACAACATCAGTCAGTACTCGTAACCAAGCCTAAGCCTGGCCACTACAACATCAGTCAGTACTTGTAACCAAGCCTAAGCCTGGCCACTACAACATCAGTCAGTACTTGTAACCAAGCCTAAGCCTGGCCACTACAACATCAGTCAGTACTTGCAACCAAGCCTAAGCCTGGCCACTACATCAGTCAGTACTTGTAACCAAGCCTAAGCCTGGCCACTACAACATCAGTCAGTACTTGCAACCAAGCCTAAGCTTGGCCACTACAACATCAGTCAGTACTTGTAACCAAGCCTAAGCCTGGCCACTACAACATTAGTCATTACTTGTAACAAAGCCTAAGCCTGGTCACTACAACAGTCAGTATGACTCACGAAATCGTAATGACACGATTGCAAACAAACCATACCACGGGCGGGGATAGAACCTGTTTTGAGACTCTCTGATCGCGGGTTCTATTCCCCCCCCCCGTGGTATGGTTTCATCAGTCAGTACTTGTAATCAAGCCTA